TGTGAGTTCACACAATCCTGACCAAGTCCCTAAATGATGCTCTCACCCCTGCAGCCGCCTTGCTCTTGCCTTTCCGCTGCCCAGGACACCCTTTCGCCTGATCCTACCAGGCAGTCAGCCCTCAGTTGAAGTGGATCCTGCCAGCTCAGCATTCAAAATGCAGTCAGTCACTGACTCCCTCTCACTAGTACCACCTGGTCCAGGCCACCATCATCCCTCTCCTGAACCATCACCATAGCCTCTACAAGCTCCTTGCTTCTGCCGTCTTCCTCTTTGGTCTGTTGTCTGCATAGCACCTCAAGGGATCCTGTTAATACACCAGTCAGATCATGTCATCTGCTCAGAACCATCCGCTGGCTTCTCATCTCACTCAAGTTAAAGCCCAAGCCCTAACAGTGGCCTCAAAGGTCCTCCATGGGGCCTTGTCCCTGCCACTCTCCTCCTCACTCCAGTGCTCCGGGCCTGCGGGTCTCTTGATGCCCTTCAACAGTGCCAGGCCTCTGCACACCATGGCCTTTGCATTTGCTGTTCCATCTGGAATGCTCTTTCCCCAGATAACTATCTGGCTTTCCCTCTCCCTCCTTCAGGTCTTGGCTCAGATGTCAGCTTCTCAGCGAGGCCTTCCCTGACCACCTTTCTGCAATGTCCATACCCCCACTTCCAGTGCAGAATACTCCCCATCTCCGTTCTGCATTTATCACCACCTCACTTACCATAGGGTTTACTTATTTATCTTGGGTATTGTCTGTTTCCCTCTGACTGGAATGTAAGCTCCATGAGGGTAGGGATTTTCTTTTGTTTTATTTGCCGACGAACCCCTAGCGCCTAGAAAAGTGCCTGACACATAATAGGCACTCAGTAAACATTTGTTGAATGAATGATGGTTTCAACATAAATGTTGCCTCCTGTGTGAAGCCTTCCCTAAGTCCCATCTGCTATCACTGTGCCTCGACACCTCGGTTATAACAATTCTGGGGAGCCACTGTGTGTGAGAAACACTTGGGGCAGGGATGAAATCAAACTTTTCATGATGTAGTGCTGGTCCTGGCCCAGTGTCTGGCACACAGTAGGTGCTCACTTAATGAGTGTGGGAGGGAAACATTCATGAGTACCTACTGAGTGAGGTGCCTTCATTTCTGTGCTCATACATACCAGGGAGCTGGCATTTAGAAATGGGCTCACTCTCTTGAACTAGACCTTGACCGTGTAGAACGACATTCGTAAGAATAGTTCAGGGCCACTGAATAAACTCACTTTTATCTCCATCCCACACTGCTTCTGTTTATCCAACTGTCAGCTCCATCTCTCCACTGGTTCATCCCCCCCACACACTCAGCCCTGGTGTCCAGAACTGAACCCTGGTTGCCTTCCGCACCACAAGATGCCCCCCTCCTGGGTTCCCTGCTGCAGGAAGCGGCACCTTTCATCCATCCAGATGCTCGTAGCTGAAGCCTGGAATTCATCCCTCCGGACCACTAGTCCTGTAGGTTCTACTTCCTAACTATCTCTCAATCAGATCCTCCCCCCACCCTCCCAGGGCCTTAGCTCAGATCACATCTGGCCTCACCTTGACTTTGGTGACTCTGCACTATGAAGGGCATCCTGCCCGCTCCCCCAGCTCAGACCTCGTCTATGCCACGGCCACAGTGGTCTTTCTACGACGCAAATTTAATCCTGTTTCCTCACTGCCTTTGATCTTCAAGATGAAGTGGAAAGAAAAGGAGAACTTGGCATCAGTTGGGCATCTAACACATGCTAGTCTCTGGCTAATGCTCCGTACTGTCACATTAATTATGCCATTCAGTTGTCATAAGAAACCATTCTACAGAGAAGCAGAATGAAGCTTAGAGAACTAAATCACCCAAGGTCCCATGGTTGGCAAACTGTGGAACCTGAATTCAAATCTACACCTTCCTCATCCTAAAATCCATTTTCTTTCCAATATGGTCCGCTGCTTCCAATCTTCTTGGGCCCAGCACTTTCTGTCACGGGGCTCCTTCTACATTTCCAGTACCATCGCCCATCATTCCTCTCTGTTCACTCTGTGTTAGGCCATCTAGAACTACTTATCTTAGATATGCCTTGTGCTTTGGGGCTTCCATGCTTATGACCTTTGGTTCTCTTTTCTCATAAATGCCTTTCCATTTCTTCTCTAATGATCTCCTAGTCATCCTTCAAAACCCAGCTCTAATGGCACCTCCTGCATTAAGCTTTCCCAAACTGACTCACCCAAGCAAAGTAATGTACTGCTTTATCTCTGTCCTCAAAGTGTGAATTATACTCCTGGGAGACAAGAAGGTGTTGGTTAAGAGCATAGGCCCTGTAATCAGAGTGTTGGGCTTAAAAATCCCAGCCCCTTTAATCACTATAAGCTGTGCCTTTGGCAAATAACTGAAACTCTTTGTGCCTTGGTTTCTTTACCTGTAAAATGGGAATAATACTTCGTAGGGTCATGAAATATGTAGGGTAGTTAGAATAGCACCTGGCACAGTGGAAGTGCTTAATAAGCAGTAGCTTTGACTGTTGTTACTCTACTGCCTCTGATACACGTTTGAACCCTGATACTGCATTTTTCCTTTCTTTACAACTTAGTCCGTATCTCTAATACATGATATGCTAAGTGGATTACGATCACTTACTTGCATACAAGCTCCAGGAGGGCAGGCTTAGGAAATTTGGATAACATCCACTAAGTCACCCAGCTGGAAGCCATAGAGGAGGAATTCACACTGAGTCTGCAATAATTGAAAAGCCAGTGCCCTTAACTACTTTATGTCAGAGCATGTTCCTTGGATCATTGTTTCTGAATATCAAGTCTCAGCTGGGGTTTAGGCTGGAGCAGTGCCACTCCACCAGGATGTGCTGCAGGGATGAGTAAGACGTGGTCCCAGCCCTTGGGGATTCCCAGCAAGTTCAGAACCTAGAGTGGCAGACAGACATGTGACAGGTCATTGAAACAGTGCCAAGTACCGTGTCTGAAGCTGGACACTTTGCTCCAGGAGCACAGAGGAGAGAGCCATTACTAAAAGCTTGGGGAAACGAGGCTTTACCGAGACGTGGCTTTGAAGTTGGGTCTCAGAGCATCAGAAGACTTGCTGTGGACAAGGGGCATCCCAGGCAGAGGGAGCGATGTGAACAGAGCCCAGGAGGTCTGACCACACACAGCACTAGGGCAGAGCTGGCCTGGGCCCAAGGGGCAGGAGGGAAGATTGCAGAGGTCCGGCCAATCTGTGACAGGCCTGGAATGCCCTTTGAGTTTTGCCCAAGGGAGCTGTGCTGTGTTTTTGTTTTGTTCCCTCACATCTGAGGTGTACCAAGATCTGGTGGGAAATAACATTCTGGTCACCACAGTCATGACCGTGGAAATAAATGTGACAACTGATTTCTCCTTCCTTCCTGGTCGTTGCAGAGCAGTGTGGTATAGTAGTTAAAAACGTGCTCCAAAGGGCACAGTTCACCCAACTCGCTAGCCTAGCTTGTTGGCTGTGTGACCTCAGGCAGGTTACATCACCTCCCTGTGCCTTGGTTTCCTCATCTGTTCATTGAGAGCAGTAATAACTAAAATTCTCAGAACAGGGTCTGGCACGTGATAAGAGCTTTGGAAGTGCTTAGTATCATTGTTATGAGGCCAACTCAGACTAGGGTCTTGGGGCACCCTCTCTGCACATCATGTCCCAGGACCCTCCCTGCCTCTCGTGGGTGAAGCGCAGGACGAGTACCAAGGCCTGGGAACCTGACCGACTCACAGTGAGCCTCCTGTCTCTGTCCACAGCGGACGACGCATGCGGCGGAACCCTGCGGGGCCAGAGCGGCATCATTTCCAGCCCGCACTTCCCCTCGGAGTACCACAACAATGCCGACTGCACCTGGACCATCCTGGCCGAGCTGGGGGACACCATCGCCCTGGTCTTTATTGACTTCCAGCTGGAGGACGGTTACGACTTTCTGGAAGTCACGGGGACTGAAGGCTCCTCCCTCTGGTAAGCGTGCCTGTCCGCCCCCTTCCCTGTTCCCTGCAGCTGTGGCTTACTGGGATGTGGTCCCCTCAGTGCCTGGACCTGCAGCTGAAGGCCCCTTTGCCACTTCCTCCACGCACCGCTGGAGAGCCTTCCTCTCATCATAATGAGAAGTCACTACGTATTTTTAGAGCTGGGGTAAATTTTTACAGTGATTTTGGTATCTGATTGGAAGCACGTCCTTGCTGAAGAATCACAGGATGGGCCTTGGTCGAGTAACTTGCAGTAAGACTAACAGTGTTCTGGTCTCAGGACATGGACAGGGTCTCAGTGAAGTGATTTGAAATACTGTTCCATTTCTGGAAGCATCCAACAAAGGGAATAGAGCCCTGAGTGGCGGTTGCTTTTCCCATCCCCAGGGCTCTGAGATGGGACAGGCATTGTGTCGCGATTTCTGCGGGAAGGACTAGCCTGCTCTCTATCATTCTGGCTTGACCACAAAGCGGGGCTTTTGTGATGGGTACTCCGCTGCCATGGAGACCGGTGTTGGCAGGTTTGGGAAGAGAGGGGTGATGAGGGCTCACCAGCCTCAGTTGCTTGTGGTCTCCCAGAGGCGTGCCCAAACTGAGGTCGACTTTGGGAGTGTTTAGCTTCCTGTTTGGGCGACAAGCTGTGAGAGTGGTGGTGTGGCGTTCAGAACATGTTCTCGTATTCTCCTGGTGGCTCTGTTATCAGGATAAGGGCACCACTGGGACCTGGGTCAGCACATCGGGAGCCAAGAGAAGGATGCACTTAGGTGTGCTTCTTTGTAGCCTTCGTTGCTGCGCGGTGCTGGGGAAAGCAGGGCTCGGTGCCTGGGACGGAGGCAGAGGAGGTGTCACCGAGGGCTCTGAGAGAAGCAGAAAGTGGTAGCTGCAAAAGTCAGGGGCAGATAGCACCTCGGAAAGACAGGCACAGTGGTCAGTGGGCTGGGGACGCAGGCGGAGACGGGGAGGAAGGGTGGGAGAGGAAGAAAACAGGTGTCTGCGGATATCGAACACCTCTTTTGTACCAGGTTTCGTGCTATGTTGTAGAAACGCCAGTTGAGAAGGACATGGCCCTTTGAGGGTGAGACAATCAGACAAACCCACAATAGGAGCCAAGTATGACTCTTTGAGAGGGATAAAGTGGTAACAGACTCCTCCCAGATATGGACTTAGAACTTTGGGAACCGGGAAACTCAAATTTCCTGGTGTAGTGGAAGGCACACTGACCTGGGAGTCAGAAAACCTCGGTGTCATTAGCTCGTTGCGCGAACTTGGCCACTTCAGGTCATTTGCTACCCTGGATGGGGTGTTGAGAGGGACGTCAGTGAGCTCATGACTAATTGCTGTGTGGAGGCTGGTCCAGGGCCAGTGGCTAGATATTTGGTGCTCAGAGTTGGGGTGGAACTCTAGATGACTCTTCACTGAACTGCACTCCCAGGGACCTGCCCAGCCTGAAGACCTGTCCCCCTGCCTCTTTTTGTAAAATACCTATTTTTCTGGTCATAAATGTAATACATATGCTCCTTATAGAAAACACAGAAAATATTAAAAGGTATAAGGAAATGAATAACAAGTATTAACATTTTGATGTATTCCCCTTTGGCCTTTTTGCTTTGCCTAGATCGAGCTAGCTGGCCACTTATATATGTTTTAATATTACAAAATTAGGAACTTAAAAGATATCAGTAGTTATGTACTTTTAACTTAACATTATATCATGAAAATTTTTTCCTTGTGTCATGACAGATGTCTCCAAAGTATAATAGGCGTGATAATAGTATTTATTTCGTAAATAAACAGTATTTATTGAGCTTTGGTTATCAATATTTGGCAGGCTAATTCTAAGCTCTTGCAGCTATAATTTCATTTCGTCTTCTATGAAGTAGGTAGCATAATCTTCCTCCTTTTACAGATGAGGAAAACGAGGCCCAGAGAGGTTATGTCCCTTGCTTGAAGTCACACAGGTAGTAAGGGGCAGAGCTGAGATTCAAGCCCAGGTTAGTTGGACTTGAAAGCCCATCTTCTTAGCCAGCCAGCACAGGAATCATGCTGCGTTTGTGAAGGATTGTCGGCTGTGTGGCATTCCCTCGTGACACTGACACAGTTTACTCAATCAGATCTCTTGATAGATTGTTTCCAATTCTATAAACAGATACGAAGATGAATATCCTTGCCGGTTCCCTCTCTTCCAGCCCCAAAGCCTCTTCCACTCACTTGTTTGTCTGCGGGCCAAATGGTCTCCCACAGCTTCTGCCCCCCAGGTGTGGGTCTACACGGTTGTCCAAACTTCTGGAGTGAAGCAAATCTGAAAGATTATTCCTTTTCCTATTAAGTCACTCAGTGGGGAAGGAATTTAGCAGAGGAAATCGTTAAGGGAGTCCTTCAGAACTCTTTGCTCTAAGATTAAATTAAAATTATTTACAGGGTTGATGCATTGCCAGGCAGGATGCATTTGTTGTTCTAATTTATACCTGCATAGCAACTACGGATAAGCAAACTTGGAGGCTCAGGATGGAGGCTCAGGACGTGTGTGCAAAGAACCTGCTCTTTCCCCAGCCCCTCTCCTTTATGTATCCCTGGATTCCTGTGAAAATGTGATGCTCCTGGTTTATAAGTATACTGCTTTTATCAGCATACGTTACGATTTTAGGCTGTTCTCTTGAGTTCTGCACCAAGCATAGAGAGACAGCAGATCTTCCTAGAAAAGATGAATTTGAACAACTGGGCATCCCTTTATCTATTGAGAAAAACAGAGACACCTTTGAGAGAAAAAAGTCCGCTATCTCCCTTATCGGGTAGCAGATTCGCGCTGATTCAGAAGAGGGTGGTGGCATAGACTGTCTCTGACTCAGTTTCCACACTGTCCTCCTACCCCAAGGGGGAATACAAACAGGAGAGTTTAAATTAGGGGTTCCTCTGGTTTGGATTTCATGGACTAGTAAAATTTCCAAACAATCGGGGAAGTATAGGGTTGATAATTTTTTATTTTGCCAAGTAAGGATATTAGAGAAAAAAAAAAACAAAACCTGCCAACTCCTCAGAACATTATTCCGTAAAACAAAGGACAATTCAAAGCCAAAAATACAGCAGGATATAATCAATTGCACTGACATAATGAAGGACAGGGGTGGGAGGAGTGTACATAATAGCGTCATTTGCCCGTAACTATAAAGTCCTGTGATGTATATACATCAATCAGTGGATTGCTCATTCCTGTTGTGCTTGTCCATCACTGGCCTCTGGGAATCCAACCATACACGTTTTGAGCAGGAAAAGGTTGTTACTATGGTGAGCACTGAACCCTGTAACTCTGACATGCTGAGAGGGTCTCAAGCATCTTAGACTTGCTCTCCCTAAAGTTAATTGCCTTTTTGTGTGTGCGACTGACCAGGAGCAAAAGCTGGGTTTGAACTGACTGAGAGTTACAATCCACATAGTAGATTTGGTATTACTCCCCCACTACACACACACACACGCACACACAGACAGCCGAAGGACACACACCCCTCCAAGTCATCACCATATACGCATCACCAGGTCAAACCCCCTGACACGTACATACTTCTAGTTCTAGTTCACCGAACTCAATTTAGGGGCCAGATTTTCTGTCACTGATCTTTCTCGGGGGTAGGTGGTGGTCTTTCTTCTGCTCTGGCCCAGTCTTGGCAATGACCTTCAGGGAGCCCCATTCCTTCCCCTCCAATTCTAGGTAAATACTCTCACCACTGCTCCAGTTCCTCATGAGGTCCCTGGATTTTCAGAGGGCTGGGGCTGAGGGATGCAGAAGACTCTTAAAACCCGGGGTTCTGGGTCCCTGGAGGGAATCAGGATCGTGTTATCGTAACGAGGAGAAATAATTGTCAGCCCATTAGGAGAAAATCAGTGAGTTAAAGTCCACCCAGAATCTGTCCCCTTCTCCCTCTGCCTCATGCTGGCCTCTCTCCATTGGAGTCTCACCAGACGCTTCCTCTGGGCTACAAGGAAGGAGAGGAAGCCAGACACTCCTCCAAGAACAGGGGTGAGGTCTGTACAGCGTCTCCAGGATTAGGTGTCAAGCCTGCACCTTGGCATCTAACTGGGGAGATAGCAAGCTCGGGAGTCAGATGGACTTGGGCTCAAAACCCAGATCCACTTCTTAACAGCTGTGTAATCTCAAGATATTTACTAACCTCTCTGAACCTCAGTTTCCACATCTGAAAAATGGGGCTCATTTTACCAACCTACAAAGCATATGGAAAGGGATAAACATGCGAACTGCTGCCTAGTTTATAGTAGGAATAACAGTCCTGGGATGGGGACGAGAGGCAGGGGCTCACTTTTTGAGGGGAAAAGGGTAAGAAGAGGCATCTCCAGCCACTCGGAGCCTCCCATGAGGCCATCTCCCAGCCTGCCAGCCCAGTGGCATCTTACCAGGCAGAAAGGCACACACAGGCTGGTCACTCTGCCTGATCCAGCTCCCAGGGGAATTGCCTGGAAACCAGGTAAGGCAGACTGGCAGAGAGCCCCTGGGTCAGACTAGAGGATGCCCTTGCAGAGGTCAGAAGGTGGAGGGTGAAACCGTCTTCCCAGAGCTGCACTTTGTGAGCACATTGCGGGCGGCATCACCTCTTCTCTGCCTGGACCCAGCCCCAGGCTGGCCAATTAGCTGCTTTTTAGAAAATCAGAGGAAGGTTCAGCTCATTCAGCTACCAATGGCTATTCTGTGCCGGACTGGAAGCAGGGGCGCTCCCCCGGAGCCTGGCACAGCCCCTGCCCTCAGCAGCCTGCAGATTTGGAGAGCAGGGACAGAGAGTATGGAAAGGATATCCAGGAGAGCACTGCAGAGAGAGGGGAGGAGCATCTCTGCCTGGGACCCGCTCGCTGTCTCTGACTGATGAAGATGCAGTTTGTAGGGCCTTCCTCCCTCCTTCGCTCCTTCCCTTCCGCTGTCTGCCCCCATCCCTTGGCAATTTCCTCCTAGAGCAGGGAGGGCAGGCAGGGCATGACCTGCACTCGGAA